ACACACACACACACACACACACACACACACACACACACACACACACAGTCTGCCATACCAGTATTCTTAGACAGTACAGGTCTTTGCGATGGTACGTCTGTAACCAGAGTCCATAGTAATCTGTGGCAGAGCAACAGAAGAACAAAGCAGTGTAGTTGACAATAGTCATCAGGATTAATACAACCAGAGCCGCCAGCATTGACCTGCAAGACAGAGAGAAGAAGAGAGGGTCAGCAGTGGCTTCACTTCAGAGACAGCACATCAAATGAATTGTTAACTTTCTGATCCTAGGCCTTGATATGCTCAGTCAAATCATACTATTAGATCAATTGCATTGTTATGGATTCTCCAACTACGTATACCATCGGCTATATAATGATGTTCACAATCATGTGGTGATCACCAACAGAACTATTTTATGGATGATTATGTTTCGTCCTTTTTCAGCGATACTCATTTTACCATTTGGAACATTGATGATTATCTATATAAATATCAAATTAATTATTAGTTTCGTTGGCTGATGGCGGTTAGCCAAACACACTGCAAACTACCGATACACACACACACACACACACTGCTGTACACCTTGGTGACTTTCATTCTGTTTCTGGTAGGATGGTGTGACCCGATTACATCATACATTGCATAATTCATCGCTGCTTGTTTTTGAGTTAAGTGTTTTATTGGTGTCTAGACGGGTTAGCCAGCTGTGGGTTGTATTCATTCAACTCCACGTTGCAGACATATCTGGTGCAGATCTGCGCTCTACTGAGTACACCTTTCTAGTTGATCATAAAATTTCTCAGCTGAGAAAATAAAATAATCAAATATCTAAAAACATGTATTCTTACTTTCTTGCAGATATGATATTCATATTTGGCAGTGTTTAAAGATATCTGCCTCCTTCCTCTTATAAAGGAGCTGAATGGATTGGGATTGTGGTGCTCATAGCACACAACATTAAACTTTCCAGAAATGTCTGTTTTTCTGGCTAATTGACAGAACACACTACCAACAGTTCCAGTTTCCACAAAGTTCCTTTGGAGCTGAATTTATTTGCACATTTAAAATGTATAGTGTGTTTTTAAATAGATTTTGGATTATCCTGTAATACTGTGAGCAGACCGAGTGATGTCACTAGAACCGATATTTCACTACCAAGTACTTAGATGCCCAAGTATCATCAGGACAAACCCCCTGAAGGGTCACATTGTGAACAACAGATCTGTGTTAGCTGTTAGCTGTTAGCGGTGGACAGCACACTCCTGCTCGGCTTCATGAAACAGCAAAAAGCTAACGCACACAGGTTGCACTGAGTTGCATTATGATGCGTTCAAGCTCCATTAAGTAAAAATTGGTATTGGACGAAGGTCAATTATTGTGAAGTTTAAATGTAAGTTGTAAATATTGTTTTTCACGAGAAACCAGTGGAAGGGATTAATGATAAATTCCTCTTCATTTATTTAACATTGTATTAATTCCCCAATTTATTTACTCTTCAATTTCATTTTCCCTTTTATTAATCTATTTCTTGTTAATTGTTAAATGTATTTATTTATTTTCAATTTTTGTTTTCTTTCCAACGTAGCAAATTGGGACTAAAATCCACATTTCGTTGTGCAACGCGGTCACACAACGACGAACAACACACGAAGAAACGTCTACGTAAAGGAAAGTAATACAGAAATATATAAATAAATACATTTAACAATAAATAAATACAAATAAATAAATAAATAAATGGGTAAAATGAAATAGAAGAGCAAATAAATGGGGGAATTAACACAAAGGTTAAAAGATAAAGAAGCAAATTGAAACAGAAATATCACTTTATCAAATAATTAATGCCACATTAATGGCCTTTTAATTTATTTATTGAGTCATTTATGCAAGTTACGTCCATGAAACTACCCTTTAAGAAAATAAAATATCATCAATATCAAATGAAAGTCCATTTCCATCATAACTATCCATGTGATCTACTCTTCCATACCTCAATGCCTGCACTGTTCTCTAACCCTACTCCTCTCAGTGGTCACAGGCTGATGCTGACTCATGGTTCACCTGCAGCGCTCTAATCCTCCTCGTCGTACTCGCCTACATGTCCTCCCCTCACCCACAGTGTCCACATTACATCCCTTCTTAATCATTGCTGTTGTTGTATTTTGGCTTTTTTGTGCAGAGTAGCAGACATACTCTCTGTCCCACAGCAGCAGCCATATTATGTTCATCACCAGGTTGGACAGCCAGCACAGATAGAAGGTGTATGGCATCAGACACTGAGCCCAGGATCTATTCACAGGAAGAGAGAGATCATTTTCATCTGCATCTATCACACAGGTTCAATCCACAGGGGTCAATATTTAGTAGGACTATTGTGATGTTATCTTACCCTCTGAATACATATGTAGTGATGTAGATCACCATCAAGGAGAGCCAGGTATAGATAACACCCCAGATAGAGAAGGTCCAGCCAGCTGGAGTGATGTCGGTCTCATAGCGGGCTGACACATTACCTGTAGTAGAATGGAAAGGACCTGGAAAACAAGAGCATAAAGCATATACATACATACATATACATACACATATACATACACATACATATACACATATACATACATATACATATATACATACATATACATACATATATAAATATATACATATACATACATATATA